ACCATGAGTGGCAGGTGGCTGAATTTTACGGAGACTTGCCACGGTCTCCAACCCTCCTCCTTTCTCATCGAGGCTTGGGACCGGCCATGACTACCATTATTATGGGACATAATTACTGTAGAAGTTCAAGTAGAAAATCGCGGGGCATTCCGGGCAACAAAGAGGTCGTTCATTATTATGATCGCAAAATAAGCGCAGACTTGTTTCTGTTGTAAATCAAGATGGACGTCACGAAGAATGAAGCCTTTTGCTTACTTGGAATCGATATTCCAACCAGCCCCAGGAGTTAAGTATTTTGGAAAAATAATATTGCGGTCTGATTCTTTCTGAACTACGGCTTAGCAAATGACCGCACGTCTCCACACGCGTCAGCCCTTCGTTAAAACAACGGGTTTTATTAAATATAAGGATACTGACCTGGCCAAGGCAAGTACAAATCGTATATGTAGAAAAAGATGTTCTTATCAGTCATTCTCAAGCTCACCATTCCTTAGGGCAATGAAGACAACAGTTTTTGAGTACTTCAAACGGTTCACGTTCTCAAACAGTCAAGTAATCTCCATGGATTGCATTTCAAACATCTAGAATACGTTCTTCCGGCTTCTTGCTGCTCCCAGTTGTCCCTCTAAACGTATGTCAGGTATATTAAGAATCATTCGATTTAGCTGATTTTTGCCCATACACGACGGTGGAAAACTGCAGCATTTTTCAACCTAGATATTGAACATGCTATAAGAAGCAACACAAGCAAGGGCAATCTTCGTGCTTTAATAGACAGCACTGATAGAAGCTAGATGGTTAAGCTGGTAAAGATGAAGAGTGGCAAACGAGTGTCCAAGCAGCGTTTCAAAGCACAAAAGAACACTATTACTTCGAGCCGGAATGGAAAATTTGGAATTCACCAATATGCTGTATAGAGTACCTCAAGCAAATTACAATGCCACATGTCGTCTATCACAAGGAACAACAAACTGCTAGAGGCAATATACAGACAAAAAGAACCGCTGCTATCAATGTACAGTAAAACATAAACCGTACATGTCCTCCACCCTACAGCTCCGTAGAATTTGACAATAGTCGACATTCCACACCGCCTGATCGTCCCAAACTTTGCTGGCTAACATCACAGCACCGAGAACTACTCGTCGCCAATTTGTTGGGCAGAGGTCAATTTCAGCGTAAGTCAACAAACGCTCGATGTAAACCTGAAATAACATTCATAAGAAATCAATATACAAATATTACAGATGATATAAATAAACAGATACGATAAAAGTCAACGAAATGATATCCATAGCACAGAAGGTATACTGGCCTTCATCGAGTCTAGAATTCTACACCCAGTAATACGCACTATGGCTGTTAAAGTGATAAAGTATATCTTTGCTTCTTTTCACCGTTGAAATAAGAAAGGGAAATTAAAAAGTCAGCCTCCCTCATCTTTCATGACGGCTTTGCTTACAGAATACTGCTTTCATAGAGCGCATGGTAAAGCGCTGATATCTATTTCGTACCACTGGCCAGGAGGATAATATTTTGTGAAGGCAATATCTACAGCCAGAAAATCAGCTTGAACGGGTAGATTCTTTCCTCCTTTCCACTTTAAGGCATAGCGCTATTAGCTCCTCAATAATCGTAACATGTTAAGCAGCTGAAAATGTAAAACTCAGAAAACGAGGTCGAATTTCATGGAAGCGGAATTTGTTAGAGCCAGTTTAAAGTTCGAACAGGTTTTAGCATATTCGTCCCCCCATAAGTGAAACACAAGAATTAAACAAAACATTAAAATGCATAAATTCTTACTAAAGTTATAATGGCGCACTCTGCCGTGAGCTGGGCAGCACCAAAAAGTGTTCTAAAGAACCGGTATATCTGACGATGTTCAGGGTCTCGCAAGAAATATTCCAAATCAGGGCGTTCAACCTAAATCGTTTTAGCGTAAAAAGTAAAAATAACGTATATTTTGACATTCAAAATAATGTACATTTGTACTTTCAAAATGATATTCTGCGTCTGTTAACTGTTATTTTTCGACACCACCGACAAACATGACAATCTCTGGATGTGCATCCTCAACGTAGTAGCACAGTTGCCTTAACTTTACACTTAAGCGGCTCACTGAACAAACCACTGCCATGTGGTACAACACTAACTGTAGAGGACGAATGCAAAACCACATCGATGTGATGAACTGAATGAAAACCTGTTCGAAAAGCAGTTGGAATGCGATTATCCGAAGGCATATTCGGAGTAATAATAGACATTCTGCCAAGACGGAAAGACTATTTCGTTAAATCGGTAAACATAAAGCTGAACAAAGCTTTGATGATAATCCACATCCTCAGATTTGTGGCGAAGTTTTCGCAGTCGACGTCGCAGCAGCTTTTCAAGCTTCGTTCTGCACTGGATATGGAATTTAGAGTACCGCCTCGTCGAGTAACTTCGATCATTACCTGCGATATGCCACCTGCAGTAACTTAATCTCGACCCTCTCTCCCCCTCCCAAATTATCCTGGCCCGCACCCCAGTGTGGTCATTACCGAAGTTAAGTGATGGCAGAACTGTCATGTATGGATGATGCGGCGTTTATATAACAGAATAAAGCTGATCACGTTTTTTATTGCATCTTTCATTGCACTGCGTGATCCATGTTCACCTACTGCTGGCATTCTTCTTGAACCAGATGTCGCTAACTTACAGGTACTTAGTTTCTGCCATGGTCACTAGCAAATCTCCTTGTTCAATGTGCTATCCGGTGATGTACCAACCAATAAGGTTTATACCGACTATTACGACTTTGGCACTGACGTCTCCCATGAAGAAGACATGCGTAGACTCTGGAACTAATCACTATTTCAGTTCATGACAGAATTCTTCCATTTCCCCCACGGCATTGGTTTGAACGATGCCCAAGATCCTCTTCTTGATCAGCTGGAGCACAGTACGCCCAGTCTTGTAAACTTCACAAGACAGAAGACGATTTTAGGGCATCAGCGTTAACTGACTACAAATTTGATTCCTCCTATGATCATCGCGTCCTTTCCTCTTCGTAGCCAAATCGACTACCAAGTTTCAAAATGGCATTTATCTCCTTCCGCAGACGTGTCTCTCAGAGGTCAAGGATGTCACAAGCCATCATGACCTTTCCTTAATTAGTTCGTTTAGAGATTCTTTTCTAGATTAGCTCATTTTAGATGAAAACCGTGAAGTCCGGGCCAGTTTACCAAATGGCGGCATTTCAGCTCGGATAGTAGATTCTCATCAGTCGAACTGTGAACCGCCGCCGTAGAACGGATCAAAAGATGCGCAAGGTACTGAAGTCCATCTATTTATGTTGCCACAGCGTATGAAGTTTAGCCACCCGCCGACAGTGGCTTGGGAAATTTCGTACAAACGGGACTCATTCCGTTCGCTTATTTATCGAAGTTGCCTCCTCTAGCATTGTACGAACCGGTATCTAACCTTAAGGCTACGGTGACAGTATGACCTTTTCCCCTCAGAAGGGTGGGGCATTCTCGCCTCAACATTAGATTGTTATTGGGCACGGCAGCCTTTTCACTGAGGATCGAACTTGCCAAGCTCCCACCCGGCCACGTGTGAAAGTATTAGAACAAAAGTAAAGGTCAAATACTTCAATGTCTGAAAAGATGTAACGACTTAACAGTGGATATTCGATATCGTCAACAGAAAGAACAAGGATTGCTCCATCGGTAAAGCCAAATAAGAGAAAAGAATTCTTTTACAGCTCATTTAAATACAGGTCCGTTTTCAAAATTTGCAATTCAGCGACTACGGTGATTGATCGCAAAGATGTCCGATGCTATTCAAACATTTAGCTCACTGAATGTCATAAAGCCAAGCCAAAATGAAACAAAAACTCGAATTCAGAAAAGGAACCCACGGGCAGTCATTTGACTGATGTCTGAGATAAGTATGGCATTCAACTGAAACAAAAAATTTTTCACTCTAAAGCAAATGAAGAATTAATTAATTCGCTCATTTTCGTAGCTAATCATTCCTTTCGGATTCTAGTACAACAGGACCAGGAAGCTTCGCCCTTGATCGGCAAAAAGAGCGGCTTATAAGCGATGGTGTTTCAAACTGTCGTGTTCAGAATTATATCGAGTCTTGTGGCAACAAACCTTGAAAGGAACCTCATTTCCGTAGCATATACCAACGGAGGCACTTTACGGTCAATATACTCCAGATTTATGGCTACTAGTGAACACAAAATATAACGAAAAATTTTGCTTAAAATACAATAAATTTCAAAAATGAGCCCGTGGGGGAGTACGACAAAACTGCGTAACTACTTAATCAAAACATGACGACTTCACGGTACTTCAGCAGTTGCCGCATTTTTCCATGGATTTATCGAATGCCTAAGCAATCAAAAAGACTAACAGAATAATCAGAACCTGAGTTCAAGGTTTAGTTAAGCTTCCTTCCAGTCAAGTGGCTGGGTAGTTGCTAATGAAGTAACGCATGAATTACGGGTGACCCAATCCGCTAATCCCATTTCTTCAAATATCTCACGTCAATTGTTAAGATCGAATCTACCAGTATCAGTGCGAACGATAGCGCAAATCGGAAGATAACTAACAGTCGTTATCCATAGGCAAGACTTTTGTAGAATGCAACAATACTTTCAATGCCCTATTCCTCCAAAACCGGATTTCCAGGTGTATTATTTCGCCCGTTGTTCCTGAATACCCAGTGATCGTTTAAACGGACGGATTTGTAACATTTCAGCATTCATGACGCACAGATGCATCTGCATGATTTTAATAGTTAGAGAAATACTTTGAAAACGGAATAAAACACGATTTATTTATACACATCGCAAACCATATCGTCAGTGAGAATTGCTGGCCAGTACAGAAGTTTAAGCTTCTATCGGCTAACTGATTCAGAACTTTTCGTGTGACCACTAACGCACGAACGAAATAATCTTTAGAGCAGAGCCTTGCGCATCATATGGACACTTTAAGAGCGAATACTCCCGATAAGCTCTTACAAACGATCAAAGTATGGGCTCATGTAGGATGTAATGCTCCAGATGCTAAAAATGGAGCTAGGACCTGTTTACATAACCCACTCTCAGCTTTTAGAAGTAATTGGTCAGTGCAACACGCCAAGGAATATTGGTTTGGAGATGTCATGCGATTATTAAATAATTTAAGAAAATACCGACTACAGGAGTCTAGAAACAACTGGGTGCAACACTCTATAACGCGAGTAATGAAACGCATCGTCATTCTCTAAGGCAGTGTATGTACCAACCAAAGATATTTGGTCTAAACCATATATTTAAAAGATGAACTAACGCTTTCAGGTTAAAAACCTGAAAATGCCACTGGTGCCATAAGTGTGTATCGTGGTTGAGCTACAAGTTTGAGTTAGCTTGTGAAGGTGCCGCGTACGACCTAACTCAACAATCATGCGTTGAATCCATGCACTGCCAGTACTAAAACGTCATGGAAGGAAAAATGTGACCTGCTTAAATGGCCACAACTAGGTGTCCAGAAAGAAGGGGACAGTGTGCGAAACTGCTTTATAACCCGATGTAATGACAGGTATCGTAATCCTCTATGGCAGTGTTGCTGTAAACCAGCGATGATTGGTGTAAACCATATATTTTAAATCACTAACCAATTGTGATAGCCTAATAATATCTAATAAGTATCACAACTGTTTTATCAGTATACAAATTTACTTTTCACCTCAAGGGAGTTACATGCCGTTTAAAATCTTTCCACAGAATAAACTAAAATCTAAAACGATGCTACCCGGTGCTTATCACCATTCCTACCGTTATCGGGTGGAGTTTCTCGTCGAAGATGTCCATGCTGCGCTCCTCACCGCGGTTCTTCCTGTTCGCGATGTGGTAATAGATGGCCAACGCGATGCACTTGATCGTGTTCTTCAGATGCGGCTGGCTGATGGTAGAGTCGTCGAGGAATATGGTGCTACATGAATTGCACTTGCGTAGGGGGAACAGCGTCGCCCCTTGGTTATTATGGCCATCTAGCAAGTAGTACGACCGCCGGTTCTCACGCACTGAAAGCACATGACCGAAAACGTGTAGCCCGTTTATGGTCTGCTGATCGACGGCCGTCAATGCCGACAAGAAACACACTCACGCTTCATCTCGCTCTTGCTTCGCTCCATGAACAACGGCCCCTTGGTCGGATGAGTAGACGGGTCCTGATCGATATCTACAATTAGTCGTAGCATCGGTGATCGACATGAAGACAATAATCCTGAAGAGGACAAAAACCTTACCTGGTTCTCGTTCGCTGATGTGCTGCAGCGAGTAAGGGATCTCGTCCTTGGTCCACGCTGTGTGGTTGTCATACTCGTGGCAGAAGTCGTCCTTCTTGTACCGAGCGCTCTCCAACTTGGGCACGAAACACGGACAGCAGCAGTTGCCCATTAAACCGATGTGTTTGCGGCAATGGTGCTACTACGCAGCGTTACCATATCGGTAGATATGATTCATTTACGAATTTCATCTACGACGCAGCGTCACGAAGCTTAAGCAAAACTCCAACATATAAACATCAACCTATAAAAAAATCCGCTATACTGAAACAGAGCCTACGTACAGTAGAAAGTAGAATCAATTAATGATTCTGACGTTAAATACCAAAATCAAAACACCGTAAAATAAAGGTGGACAATCTTAAACAGCAGCTCTCCTGAAGTCGCAATACAGGTAAGAGTTTTGCTCAAAAAATTTTCTGCTATAAAATAAAACTGAATATAACATTCTGAACTTTCGATACATTTACATTGATAATCCATCATAACAAGTCGAACAAGAAACGAGTAACTTAATTTCTGAAAGACATAAGCGCTCGCTGCAAAATGCTAGGTGGCATACTCCTATATATCGTCCGTCCAAATAACCAGATAGGTAATTATATCGTATTATACGCAAATGATAATTGATCCTCATGATCAATCTACAGTACACTTTTCCTATCGATGCATTATAGTAGGACTTCGTGGACATAAACCATAGTGGAAGCTTGACAGATTCATGTATAAAAAAACTCATCACAGCAAGAGACATTCATAGTAGTTTATCGTCTCAATTTTATTTCCATGGACAGATGTGTTTGCAGAAACGAGCAGTGAAATTCAGAAACTGGATGGAACAAGGTGATTCATATGCAATTCAAAGGACAAACGAACCACATCGTTTTAAAAATTTCATAAACGAATCTAACGAAAAGAAACAACTTCAAAGAAGTAAATCAAATAGAGAAAAATTCTTCATAAACAATTTTAAAGGAACAAATGCACAGAGAGATGAATAGGCAAACAGATGTCAACATCTCTCAGGTGCTATGTCAGAGTTAATGACGTTAAGTCGAAAACATTCAACGTTCGCACTGGTCTCCGCCAAGGCTGTGTCTTGTCCCCTATCCTGTTTGTGTTGTATATGGATAAAATAGTCAGGAGCTACGACACGATGAGGGTATCGGTATAGGAGATGCGAAGTCGAGAACGTTGCTGTTTCTAGACGACCTTGTTTAATTAGCATCTTCTGAAACCGATCTCCAGTGCTCCA